GGCGTCGATACAACAACGCTCGTGTCTGATGGAAGTTTTGTGTGTGTGTGTGATGTTGGCGAGAAGGGGTAGAAAGGGGCCGAGTACGAGGGGCGCTTTTGGCCGCGCGCATAGCTCGCATACCGGGCCTTCCTCGCATGGTATGTTATAATTAGTGCTCCTCCTCCGTGCACGCACGCAACATCGATATGTCCACGAGCTTCGGAATACTTCCCTAATGAGATGGCAGCGATAAACAACGGGTTAAGTGCTCGCGCGCGACCAGGCGCGTCCACCTATCCTCCGCGCGTTGCCCGTCTAAGGGACACGCCATCGAGAGGATCGTATCCTGCGAAAGAGCTGACGAGTCGCGAAATGTATCGTCGCAAAACTCTGTCGGTTAATGAGCGTGGCAAGTATAAGAAATTCCGCCTGCTCGCGAAATTGTAAAATGCGCGGCAGTGTTAGAGCACTCGATTCACATCAAGTTTTTCGATGTGCATTGCGACGCGTCAATTTTCTCCTTGTTTTCCGAGGGGGACGAACGAGTATTTATCTTACGATTTCGTTGCATCCCGACGCGTGTGTGAACGCGTTAACTGGTGCGTCCTCACGAAAGACGCGCGGACGAGAATTGAAATTGTTCGGGCATTTTTCAGAAAAATTGCGCTTGTAGATAAATCATACAATGTCTATTCAGCAGTCATCGCGAATGTATGTTTGCGGAAAGAAATAAACGCACGCGAAGGCTAAGCGTATCTCGGCTCTTGGCATTTAGCTCTTGCCGCAATAGATTTACATTGTACATCTCGCGTGCACGACGTAAGCATGTTTTACAACTCTGGCCAAATAAAAGCGTCGGCAGAAATCACGTTTCCTTTTTTCTTTTTTGTTTGCAACACGAAAATTTTACTGGTCGCGCGAATCAGGTCGGCGGTAAATCGCTGACGTTGAAGGCTAACGCGAGTTATTAATATAATGATAAATTAATAATAATAAATTTATTACAATGTACAACAATGAAAAGCTACAAGAGATTAAACATTAGATTGAATGTGAAAGAGACAAAGAAGTACGCGCAAATGATGAGACACTAACAATACTGCTATTATGAAGCCTACCAGTAATAACAGTATAAGGTGAGAGAGATGAAACGTGCATAATAAATGCACGTATCTCAGACGCACACACAATTCTATTCACACATGCAAAACACGTATACACATATAACCTACACTAATAAAACACATCTATAAATTTAGACTCGCGTCTAATACTATTGCTCGAAAAAGTATGCGCATAAGAACAGGTCGAAGAAAATAAGCTGTAGATACTAGTTTAAAGAGAAAGCAATCGAAACGATGAAACAAGAGGCCGCAGCGCGAAGAGAAGATAGAGAAAAGGAGGATTTTTTGGAAGACGGTAGTTTATTGCAATATTTGACAGTACAGTAGGGGAAAAAGCAGCGCGGAATTTACAATTAGTAGAGTAGTGATGTGAAGAAAAAGACAATAGGTCAATAAAACAATATATGTCACGCGAAATCTTTTATTCGCGGTGATAATCGAGATACTTCGTTTATGCGTTTATAAAGGTTTTCCAGTCTTCAAATGCGATAAGGAGAATTTCCATCTCTTCGTTCCTGTCCGTGATGTTAATTGTCGTGAAATTTTCGTACCTCCGATTCGCGTAACCCACGCTGGTTTATTGGCGTCATCGATCGCGTGACTTCCCGCGAATCGTGCCGTAGCACTGTAGCACTTTGAACTTGATCTATTAATAACGCCGCAAGGAGATTAATCGCGTCGCAGTCGCGCCCTCGTGCCCATCATGAATCAACGGATCTGAAAATCGTTTTTTTGATCTCGAGTCCGCGCGCGTCCGCCGTGAGAAATGTCCGGGCCACACGAAAGTACCGACCTCGTGTGCGGGGGAAAAAGTTTCTGTATTAGCGTCATTTACTCTTATTTGCCGCGACAAACGTCGTCGCCATTATAGGACCCTAGTGCGGTACGATCGCGAGAGAGAAGGGGGACCGCAATTGTAGGTCGTCCTGGGACGAATAGAGGTAGACGGCGCGCGTTGGTAATGCGCGTCCGTGGATTCGCGAGCTTCTTCCTTCGTGGCCCCTCGCCACTTTCTTCCGTAATAATCATTACGCTGGATAGCCCCCGGAAACGGTGCCCTGGAGGTATAGGTGCGCGGGAGATACATACACCGATACCGACATCCCCCCCCCCCCCAATTATGTTTCATCAAGACTTTAATTCGGTACTTTGAACACCGTAACGCAACGACCCGGGACGAACGGAATTGCTTGCCGAGTACCTGTATCTGGAAAGGCGCAGTTGCGAAATTAAATATCGCAAGGAGTCTTGCCTCTCGACATGGAGATACACTTTACGCGAATATTCGCGTATTCTTTAAGAGTACGGCGCCAATTTGGTAATAGTTATTGTCGAAATTCTGCTAAGCGCAGTCAGTATGACATTTAAACGATAGAAATTTCAGAAGGTGCTTTTGAAAATGGCAATTACAATAATTGAATCGTCATCCATCTCATGGAACATATATATTCGTCCTACTTTTGCATTATTTAAAAAACGTTCGGTAAAAGTCAATTTAAAAATTTAATTAAAACAGGAAAATTAAAAATTTAAATGTCGAGAGACGCAGACAATACTATGATCCTAATATGCTGTGGAACGAGATTAAACCATGTTTAATCCTATCTACGCGCGATTGTATAAAGTCCTGCAGTGAAAAAGAATGCATTTATAATGAAGTTTTATCTGAAATCCTCGCAAAATCTCTGATGTTACTATAACGGTGAGACGAACAGCGAAGGGGCGTCCCCATCGTTATCAATTATAACGGCGATAAAGCTGCCAAACTAAATCTGGGAAACATCAAGCAGCAAACCACCCCTTATACTCGTCGATTGAAATTTATCGACTCGCCATAATTACACGCCGCAGAAGTTGATTATGCGACGTTTGATTCCCATTAGGCGCGTGCATTTAAGTACCGCGACGCGGCTCACAAAATGTATTTAAAATTCGCATAAAAGTTAAGTTAGCAATTAACGGAAACTCGAAACTTGATTCTCTCAGAAAGTGGCACTCGCGAAATAATTCAAAATTAGAGTCAGGCACGACGCGTATATTTTTTCTTTAAGAGACAAAGAAACGCGAATGATTATTTCTTATAATTTTCGCGATGCTATGTTCAATGTTCAAGATACTCTGTGATGTGAAGTGAAATTTCTTAGCACGCAATATTCGTATGATTATAGCATAAATAAGTAAGTTTGACTTTAAATCTCTCATAATCAGTGATTGATTAGAGTTGATTTTTAAGATCAAGATTGTATTGAGTATTAAAAACAATATAAGAAACGATTCATTTCTGGGTTTTTTTTCCTGTTAAACTGTGTAATTTTTCATTTTATAATTAATATTCTATATTATATATATATATATAATATATATATAATAAAAAAAATTACACATCATTTTCAAGGTTAACTCAGGTAAATCTCTTCATTGTAAAGCGGCAGTTGATTACGCATTCAATTGTAAATCGGGGGAAAAGAGCATATCTAAAGGTTTGTCCTCCCCCGGGCATTCCCGCAGTATCGATTTGATGACGACGGATCGAGCGGTTGGAGAAAAAAACGAGGAAAACCGTTCGAGAGAATCAGGGGGAAAGGGAGGATTGCATGCCACAAGCGGTGGCAAAGGTCGGCAGGAAAAAGTACACGCGTCAGATATACGATACGTATATCCGTATATATGTATTCGTTATCGTGAACCGGTTAAGCGTTTCCTACCTCTATTTGCGTTCTGTCGAAATACACTGTTTGTCTTCAATCCGCGTGGATCGAAAAATATTGAAGAGGTCGGGCATACGGGTTAATAGCACGCCTCAGCGATCTGCACTTCGAAATGCAAACTCAAATAACGCGTACGATACCAATAGTCGCATTGCGTTTAATTGGCCGGATTCCCTGCGTCGTTAAAATTTTAATGATCGCTACGTAAGTGTTATCGGCGATCCCGCCCGTAGGCAATCCTCTGCGAAAGTTGCGGAAGCTCTGCTTCTAACGCAGGCACGTTCAGAAATGATGTTTCTTGCGAGGCCGTTTGGGCAAACGGAAAAGCGGGGGTAAAGGGATCGTATGTGAACGTATAATTCGAGGACCACTTATTCGTAAAGGAGAATATCGTGCTGGGGATGTGGAATACGGAAAGGGAATTTCCGTCAGAGGCAGCGGAGCACCGACGAGCCAGTGGTGATGTACGTTTAATAACGGGAGGTGAGTCGGACTTGTGCCACGATGTCGTAATAAAGAAGGACGCCGCAATAGGGGCGGCTTTACTACATATTAGTCGCCAGGATCGTAGATCCTCAGAGTACTTGGAGATTTTTAGAAATCCTAAATATGAGCCGAAAAACGGTAAATCAAAACACGGATTTCCACCGGAAATCATTGGCGGCAGTTTCGATGATTGTCACGATAAATCGTGCCTCAATACTTATATCTCGTCAGAGGCTTTGATCACATTCTTTGACGTTTTGAAGCGAATAAAGATCTTTGTGCAATTTGCTACAGTTGCTACGCAACACTGATGCAAAGATTTAGGCGACGAAAAGCACGTTAACCCTAGGTATACACAGTGGAGTCTCGGAGACCCCAGACCAACTTTTTTTCAGCGTTTCTGTTTGTAGACCGCACTTTTTATCTGTATATCTCGAAGCTCTTTAATTCTATCGATTTTTATACATTATAGGCCTGTTCCTTGATCAATTCTCGATCGATTAAAAAAAAAAAAATAAACTAAAATATATCCATTTTTACTGAAGTTACGATAACAAATGTGGATGGGGTCTCCGAGATCCCACAGTGTATAATACGTATAGGTAAAATGAGACTGTGTATACCTGGGGTTAACATTACGATATAATATATAAATAAAATTTTAACTTTGCATACGACAAGAACGAAATTGCAAACTCACGTGTACAATGGTACTCCGGCTTCGTCTTTAAACCAGAAAACCATGTGCAGCATGTCTTCGCCGGGAGGAGTTATGTCGCACGGCAATTCGGCAGGCCTCCCTTCGACCACGCTGATATTCACCAACGGAACTGAAAACAGATGTTTTATTTATTTAAATAATCGCTTTATTGTCTTTGTAGCTGATGCAATATTAATTACAAGCCTGTGGAGCATTCCCTTAAAGAATAAAAATCCCGTATACCTTCGCAGAGGTCTGATAAACTAATTTTTCTCCAATCTTCAAAAGCTCGCCGCGAGAAACGAATTTTATAGACAATTTTTCCAGCGAACACTTATGGAGAAGGAACGATGTAGATACGCATTTATATCGATAAGTGATATTCGCGTGTGACTCGATATCAGAAATACCGACAATTTGCTGGTCGGTGCCGGTTGGACGATACACGAAATCAGAGATTTTGCGATGGGATTAAGAGATTCGGCTTATGAAATTCCGTTTTTCTGTGGAACATCTCCTGATCGTTGTCATCGTAGTTCGTAACACATCTCTCTCTTTCCCTCCCTCCCTCCCTCTTCTCCTTTCTCTTTCTCTCTCACGGTGACCGGAGGCGCAATCCGCCTGGGCCAATTCGAGTAAGTGGATAGCTCGTTGGTCAGATCTCGCACGGGAGGCCAATTCCTTTCGTAAATTTCCGGTAGGCTATTTCCAAGAAACGAGTTTCCATTCGATTTGGTCGGCTGCCTCCGTTCTCCTCCCGCGTGACGAAGCGAACCCGATATAGCCGCTACACGGGGAGGAAAACCATGGCATACGAAGACCGTGGGGCCGTTTTGTTCGTGACGCAAGGGTCCTCCGGACTTTTTGTCGTTGACCGAGAAAGAAGAGAAGCGATCTGGCGTCTCGCCTCGCCGCTCTCGATTTTGTCACGCGCCGGGACATTGGATAGCCGCTGGTTCCTACCGTCGAAATGTAACGAGGATGAAGCGTCTCCCTGCCCGAAATGAAGGCAACAACATGGAAATCTATCTCTTTTTGTCTTTCAAACGTTTTTGCTCTACAATAGAGTAATATATAACATTACATTAAGTCGATCTCTTCGTATGGACTTATAGACGTGTATTACTTTGTGATTTGATGTTATCTGCCTGCTATCACATCTGTGAAATATCTCATCTAAGAACGATAATTCTTTATAGGAAAGAAACGTAACGTTTTTTCCTGATATTTATTTATGCGTTTAACAAAGTGTAGCTTTCGTTCTTTTATTCTCTTTTTTCATACAATCATATTTGATATTTGAAAGTTCGAAATTAAATTATATCTTACTAACAGTACGATATCATGCCAAATGTCAGGAAGATAATATTTGTTCACCAAAATATTTTATCAGAGTCGAAACATCGAATTGTTGAACTCTTGTTTTAACAAATCCAAACATCAATTTTTTACCTTAGTCTCTTGCCAATAATTGACACAACATTTACTATAACCAGCAACTCACGCTATTCTGGCTTTGGGTGGAATTTTAAAAGACCTTATCAGCACGAGCAAGGGACAAGTATAAAGATTAGCATAGGCTTAGTATTTATTGCATGCCTCCGGCTCCAACGACGGGCATAAATATTGTTTAAGGGCGACTCTTTATCATATAAACGCCCCGGCGTAACGGTGCTCATTTGAATTCCCACTTTTTCCAGGGCATAAAATGGGCTTCGCTGACGCGCAACAAGCCGTTTACTTTCTCTCCGGTTACTGGAGTAGTTGCTGGTGCCGTTGCTACGGCGGTGCACCAACGGTAGCAGGAAAGCCGCAAGTCTTCGCCATTGTACATAGGAAATGCAAGAAACCTTCGCAGATTCGTTATACTTTCATGTACGTATCTTAACTACAATTCTTAACTACAATGGTTGGTTTAGCATCTTGTTTTTCTACGTTATTTAATTACCGATAAATTTAAATATAATAGCATATTTAGATTTTGGAAAAAAAAAAAAAACGTATTTTGAATGGAAATAAATTAACTGCAATCAGTAGGAAAGCGAAACAATTATTCACATGAAACTTGTACTCGAAAATTTTTTCACACGACGTGAAAAAAACGATACATATATAAGGTTGTAGTTTTTATAGAAGTACATATCGGAATTTAATTTGCCCGATTTTTTTTTATCGTCACGTTTCCGCTCGTTTCAGTTTGCAAATTATTAAAATTATGAGCTGTTAGAAGACAATAAGGCTTTGCAATCTTGTCCAATGACTATATATTATTAATGAGGTCGTGCTAACGGCCTCATTAATAAAGCGAAGTTGAAAGCGACCGCGATTTATCTTCACCCATACTTTTTATTGTATTTTTCTACATGTCACCTTTCATTCACACTTTTTTCTAAAATGTTTTTATATGATCTCATTAAAAGTTTATCTAAAAGAGATAAAATTGATCTTTTTTCACCTAATTACTAATTATAATATATTGATTTCAAAATTAGTCAATTTCAGATAATTTCATGTCACCGCTTAAAATTCTTAAATTTCATATCTTTTCATTGTTCGAACATATTTAATCAAGAAGATTTTAATTAAAGTTAACGAATTATTGATAAAATTTAATATTCGAGAAGGAAACGGACTGCAAGTACGCCTGATTTTCCTACCTTCTTTTGTTAATTCACGCAATTCAACGACATCGACAATCGCGGTTTTCATACTGAAAACGCCTATTGATCTCGAGACATTGGATATTGTCTTCTATCTGGAAATCTGCGTTTATTCGCAACGATTACACGTTTATATTTCTACGCCGGTGAGCACGAAAGCAACTGTCGATGGCCCATTAATCGTTCGCTGGCCGACGCGTGTACTTTAAATACCAGAAAAGCCTTGAAAATCGTTTCGATTAATGAAATTCCGCAACACGTCCGCAATTAACCCTCAAAGACCCGAGGCGCTGGTCGAAATGTCCAGTGGCGCGCTAATGGCGGGTGATGGTCGTGTAGCATTCGAAACGTATTTAATGAATTCATTATCGATCCAAATCAGCATTCGGTCTCACGTTTCGCTCAGAGCCATGCGAAACAGGCGATTCCGAAATCGATATGTGAGATCGTTTCGCGTGAATCGTTATGTCAAAACCGCTAATCCCGAATCTAATTCTAAAAATTAGAGACAAAATCGAAAGGAAAGAGGGAGCAGTTTCAAGTTTGCCAATTCGCGAAATCGGAACGGTCCGGCGCGGCGCGGCGCGTCGTAACGTTGATTGGGCAAGTTTTTCGATCAATTCGTGTCGCGCGCCGAGAAAAATTTCACTTCGTCGATTGGCGACGATCGTTTTTCGTTAACGCGACTGTCGTTTTCCACATACCGTCGATAAGGGAAACGTAGCGGGAATAATACTGCGAGTTCAGAAACTCGCGACGTAACGCGTGGACGTTCCTTTTAAAATAAAAATAAAGAGAAAGTTTTGAAGAGCTGATTCGCCGCGTACGAAGCGCCAGCGTGCAAAAATACGGCCTTCGAACGACGTCTAATGGAAAAAGAGAATGTCATGAAGAGGATGAAGTTTCAACCTGCGCGAGGAAGGGCTCGAAAAAGTTTAGTCAATATCTGCGGGAAAGTACGGGAAACGGATATGTGTCGCGTTCGGAAACGTAACGGACGTGTGTCGCTCGCGCGACGCGTTTTTAACACGTTCAATTATATACCCGCCGCGGTAACGACGACAGATGTTCGGTTACATCGCCGTGACGTTGTCACTCGTATGTTTCAGAATGATGTCTTCGTTAATAATTAACAGCGCCCGCTCGGCAGCTTCGCGAGCGTAATTACAGCGAGGGAGGGCGGCGGCGCGGGCGGCGCGGGCGTACGCGCCCGAGAAAAGTTACATAATTCTATTAATAATACCGAGCCATTACATCTGCGCGGAGAGAACCGCGTGAATAATGAAAACTTCCCGACAAAAACTTGGTCGTGGGAGGCATTAATTGCTAATGAGGAGCTAGAGATCAAACTCATGATCTTAATGCGACCCGTCCCAGGAAACATTTTGAGAATGTCACCCCTCTAATTCTTTTTCCATCCGTTAATATCGCGCAGCATGTGGTGCAGAGAAGATTGAACCCAAGTTTCCGTCCGAAAAGAGGAAGAAAGAAAAGGAGAGAGAAAGAAAGAGGCAAGACTTCCGTAGGTGGACGTCCAAGTCCGTTGTGTTCTCCCCGGGGGGATTTTCGCGTGAACTTTTCTGAACTTATACCCCGGCGTTCTTCGCCGAAGCCGCGACATGACAGTGAAAGCAGATATTTTCATAAATCTCCGGGAGCGACATAGATTGATCATGTCGCTGTATCGACGTCGCCATTACACCGTAATCGCTCGGGCCCGGATATACGTTAATGGACGATGTCGCTATACAGCATGCAACTTAGGCACGCACGATCGTCTCAAAGCCACGGATCTTTGAAAGGGATGATGAACGTCGGAATGTTTATACAGTTCGCGTTTAAGGTACACGTGTACATATACGCTATGTACATATTTATATTATAATGTCTACATTATATTTATACTCGAGTAACGTTAACCGAATCTTTTATTCGACTGTAGTATATCGTGCGGATTTGCTGACTAAAATAATTCCACCGTGATAAACCGATCGCTGTGAGTTAACGTTCGACACGCGACTCAAGATACTTGCGAATGTATCTGCCGCGAATTAGCTCGCAATAGGAAGAGTTTCGTCGCATTACCAGCGCAGTTGGTACGGTCGGACTGATTCAAGGATAGCGACCGAAACATGGTGGTACGTCCGTTATTTAGGGGTAGTTAAGTATCCTGAGCACCCTCCTGTTACCCTCGTAACACTCCTCTCGGGCTGGTCTCCTCAACTTGGCAAACCCGTTTGCTTCCACTAAGCGTATCAGCCTCACCATTGTCTACGCTCATTGTCCCTCCCTGCCCACCTCCTCTTCACGTCTACTTCGTGTCGTATTAAGTTAAAGGCAGCGCCAGCTAGGACAAATTAGCAGCCGCGTTAATCAGTTCCTTAATTTTCCGCGGTGGCCCCACCGAGGTGGAAAATAGAGGAAATGCAGTTCCGCGAGTTTTTGCTCTCTGTGAATCACGGCACGGAGCCGGCACGGAGAATCTATTGTTTGCGAGAAACGTTCCTTTTGCACCAAGTTTTAATGGCGAAGAGTCGTTTCGCGATACTGATGGTAAAAGCTCATCGTTCATAAATCGTAAGAAATTACCGAATCGATTTCGAAGCTCCTTAAATCATCTTAGATGATCCACGACGTCATACCGTCCACGAATCGTATTTTGAGAGGACAAACTAAGATTTATAATTATAGTTAAACCAGCACGCGTCGCCATTGATGCTTTCGTGTACCCGTATTCGTTCTATGACAATTACAAATTTCTTGCTTCGCGTAGCAGACTTTCCCAAGGACGAACGCGCCGCTTTTGTTTTGAATACGATACGCGGACAATTTCACGGAGCTTCGTTAGAGAACAGCGCTGGCACGAAAAGCGGTCCATAAAATCCGCGCTACTTGTCTTTGTCTTCGAATTCGTGGTGAAATCGGTGAAACCAGGCGTAGCATGCGGCTCCCGGGGCCCGCGCGCTGGGATTTCGCGTTCCACCCCGCGGTTAAGCGGAGGCAACACAACGGGGGATGGGTGTTGGCGCGGACTGCGGCGAAAGTGGTAGCGACAGCGGACGGCGGGCGAGCTTACGCTTTATTGCGTATTTACATATTTCCACCGAATCCCCGTGACGTTTCATAAAATTCAACGTCTTTACAAGGGTCGACGCGAGACGCATCGTCGACACTTTATACCTTTGAATTTTCGTGACGAAGATTTGCCCGCGCCGCGCCGCTCCGGTGACAGCGGTCGAGTTTCCGTTCCGCGGGGGTCGCGATGCTTTTATTTCTTCGAGCATCCAGAGAAGATCGCTTTAAAAGGACGAAATTTCCCTGCGATCGTGGAGGTTCGGTGACCCGTCTGCCGTCCTCCTATTCTATGCGTTCTACATCTGACGCTTCACCGGTGTGCGACTGCAAAGCGCCTTGGGAAACGATTCCACAGGTTCCACCGCAACAACAACGGTGTCTCAATATAGAACTTTCGTCCGAATTGATATGTATGAGAAGCATATTGTGCATGCAATACGTAGGTTTGTGCGTCCTTTTCCTTCAGCTTGTACATTCTCTTCGGATGTCTTTGAAAATATAGTTTCGATTTAATATGGACGTAAGTTGACGTAGAATTGATAACTGAAAAGACTGTATTCGCGCGGTGTTGGTACGGTGTGTTTAAATCTTCGTCCATATCGTGTCTATATCATCGCTCGGTGTTTCTATTTGCTACAAAGCGTGTATAACGATACTTTTACCAATGAAAATTTCATAAATGGTCTCTCTCATATTATTGTAAAATGTGTCATTATATGTAAGATAAAGTATTAATAATTCCTACAACGCTGAACGTGCAGTACATGTCGTCGAGAACTCGTAAGAAACAAATTGCATTACATTCCGTTACATCTTCGTCTAACAATTTTCCCTACACAAGCAATTCTCCATGGCAAGATACTTTATTCCCCTCGGGGAATTTAATCCCGCGTTGCACCGTATCGAGCAAGTGTCCGCGATTTTTCTTGTCAGCTGCACCGACCGACCTGTTGGCAAATAATTTCCTCGCTGGACAAAACGCTGGCTGCGGAGAGCGAAAGGGAATTCATTGGACCGGGCCGCGCTTTGTCTTGGCTAAACTCTCCTGCACGAAGCCGCCTCGTGAAAGTTCTCGTCGGCTCCATACCGCAGGGATTAAACTTGGTACGGTTCTTCGGGGTAGATCCTTCCAGGGTAGGG